GTGCTAATTTATTTGTTGAAGGATATAATTGGAATGAAAAAATAATTGTGGTTGTATTTGGTTGTGGTCAGAATTTCCCATTGGTAAAATTTGTATGGCTCTAAATAATTTTTACTTAATCCTTACTTTATCAATTCGATATGAATCACATAAACCACTTTTTATTAGTTTGTGTGTCACTCCATCTTTGCTCATTGTTAGTGGGACGGAGGGAGTGAGTAACACATCCTTAAGCTAACACAATATGTATCAACATATATAGTCATACGCAATAGCGGGAGGGTTCTAGTGAGAACCTCTCCTAAAATAAGAACTTTTAATTTGTACCTTTCATTTATTGCAATCATTGATAGGGGTGGGAAAAAACCGAACCGAGACCCGGAAACCAACCCTGGACCGACCCGAATTATGATCTCAGTCCAGGTTTTTTTCTTTTTAACCGGCCCGAATTTAAAAAAACTCGGACCGAACCCGAAATTCCGAGCTCATTTTCGAGCCTTAAAATCTATAACCCGACCTGGACCGATAAAAACCCAAAACAATTAGTTTTAATATAAAATTAATATAATATATGAATATAAATTTATAGATATTTCCTAATATATGATTATAATCACGGTGGATAAAAAAATGATTTAGTAACTTTTAGTGACTACAATTATGTTCATTTTGTTTAGCGTAAAGACCATGAAAATATATTTATAGCAACTCTAGTCACATTTTTATCTATAAATTTTATTTCGTAATATTCTTAAGAAACCTATATTATTTATTCATATGCATCTGAAATAAAATATTAAGATAATTATCTTCTTTGGATTTGAATGGTTGGTGATATTGGAGACTAATATTTGTGTTATTATTTGCGGTTTGTACTTTTGATTAATTTTATTTGAAAATAGGTGTTAAAAAATAAAAGAACAATGAGATATTTCACGTTCGGGCTTTAACCGGCCCAACCCGAACCCGGACCGAACCCGAGCTACCAAAAACCCGACTCAGACCGAATATAATGGGCTTTGTTTCGGTCCCTAATTATCATAACCCGAGACCGTCCGGGTAATTTCCGGGTTTAGCAAAAACCGACCCAGACCGGACCGATCCCACCCCTAATCATTGATTAAGATTCACATGGTGTCACATTCATAATTACCCTAAATTCCAATGAGGCTTTTTTGTAATTAATCCTGAATAATTACAAAAATGTCACATTGTCATTATTTGCCATTGATTGTAAAATAAAATGATGGAGGTCAGAAGTTCTCATTTTAAAAAGGGTTCTCATTCTAAGAGTGGTTCTCACTAGAACCCTCCCCATGTAATAGCTATACATATATATAGGGGTGAGCTCTAATACAAACAGGTTTTCTCATGAAAAGTGATAATTGATCTAAACCCTTGATTACTTAAAAATGGATGGTAGAGATCAAAATTCACGATAAACCAAAATGTGATACATAATAGTAAAAGTGCATATGCGGTATGTAAGGATGCACATTCACCTTCTAAAAAAATATCACAAACTATTTCTATACTTGTTATGTTTTTCCCAAAAAGTGATGCACTTTTTTGTCAGTCTAATGCACTTTTCCTTCGTAGTCATGCATATTTATCACTTTTGACACTGAATTTTTCCTTTAAAAATGATCAGATTCACTCATTTTTTCATTTTAATGGCCAAGATTACTTCTCAAATTATATTTTGTTTCTTTTTGTTGTACCATATGTGTTGCTTTTTGTTTCATCTTGTTGTTTTTTGTTGTATTATGTTTCTTGTTGAAAATTCTGATGTTTTTTGTTTATTTACATTTCTATTTATAGTTGTTACATCTTTGAAATATAGACTACATACATAGTATAGTGTGTATCAACAAAATTGATAAATTGGACATTTTAAATGTCAACAAATACACAGAACATAAAGAAACAATAAAAAACAATAAAAAAATCAGAGTTATCAACAAAATGAAACAATGGGGCAACAAAAAAGTAACAATAAAAAAATTAGTCTAAAAAAATAACAATAAACTTCTATAACTATTATTATAAATTTTGTCTACACCTTTTTTAGTTTTCCTAAATTTTTCTGAGTACCATTTAGTTTTTTTTTCATTTTACAGTTTTTGAATTTCAATAAATTTTTCTAATAATTACATTTTTTATATTTTATATTTTCTTTTAATTTTATATTTCATCACAAATTCGTTTTTTAAATTTTTTTTATATGAATTATATAAATTGTTTTACAAAACTGCATTACAAAATCGTACCATATATTTTTGACTAATTCGATTTTTTTCAGTTTTGTTTTTTAGTTTTAAATTTCTATTTGTTTGTACATTTTAAAATTTTCAGAATTTATTTCTAAATTTGAATTTGTTTTATTTTATTTTTAAAAGATAAATTACAAGTTTTCAATTTTTTCCTTTTTCATTTTAAAGTATATTTGTATAATTTTTGACTTTTTTCCATTTTTTGTACCTTAATTATATGATTTTGTAAATTTTTAAATTTTATTTTATTGATGTGTTTCGTTTATAATTTGATTGTCCTTTATTCAATTTGAATTGTTTTTGAATATTTTTATTGTCTACTTTAGCTTTTTATATGATTAATTATTAACTATATTTTTTAATGTACTCGTTTTACTGCTTGTGACATTCTAATTTTTATTGTGTATATCTATTTCAATTTTCTATATTTTTGGATATTTTTATAAGCACTGTACATTTTGTATCATATGTGTATAATTCTTGCATTCATATGATTTTCAAAAGGTGTCATACTTCCACTTTAGGGTATGGAAAAGGTGAGTGAAAATGTTTAGCATCCAGTGTGGCAGCGTGTAGTGCTTGAGGTCTACTTTTGAAAGAAAAAATCATACCTAGTACATTTTTGAAAAAGATTTTCAAAAATGACAAAAGTGATATTAATTTCACTGTTAGGGCCCGTTTGGTATGGTGTAAAGTAAACACTTTGCGTGTAAAGTGTGGGGATGTAAACATTTTACACCGTTTGTTTTAACTATTTAATGTAAACTGTATGACACTTTTTTAAACTCATTTTACACCGTACCATGTAAAGTATTTTACGTGGAGGAAGGGTTGTAAACTACTTTACATCCGTTTATCCGAGCTATAATATACTCCGTATATACGAAACACTAGTTTGCGATTGAGACCTAGACGACGGCTATACTTTGGAGATTCCATTGTTGCGGCAAAGCAAAAAATTGACGGCGAAGAGGCTCATGTTTATTAGTTACTCTGCACGTACATATTTATACATGTGTTAGAACATTGGATCTTTAGCTTTAAATTACATTTTGAGATTTGATGTGCATATGGAATTAAAAGCTTAACTATAGCCACTAATATACTTCGTATTTAGTTTTGAGATCAAATATATACGCACTACTCGTATAGTTGTCTTCTAGGTAGTTGTTTTTTAGTGATTTATATTTTTCTGGAAGATTTCAAAAACAAATCTGGAAGCTTCAAATAAAGTTACGAGTACAACTTTGAAGTGAGTAGTCCTCAAAATTAAAAGTTGCTGGCCAACTGTCAATTAGAAGCTCTATGGCACGTTCAATGAGTATTTTACATGTAAAGTGTAAACTCGTTTGAGAAAGTTTATGTACTACGTATAATTTAAAAACAAATTACCGACCAAACTAGGCCTGGACTCGGGCCGGGCGGCCCGACCCAGAACCGGCCCGGCCCGGCCACTGTAGCAACCGGCCCGGCCCGATGGCCCGGTTCACCGGCGGTTCGGGTCGAACCGGCCCGGTGGTTCCCGGTTCCGGGCCCGGGCCTTCCATATGGTGAACCGGCCCGGCCGGTTCGGGCCCGGTCCGGGCCGGAAATAATTTTTTTTTTATTTTTTTTGAAAAGTTTTTATGTTTTGGGTTAGATTAGGTATTTTGGTCCATTTGAGGTGGTTTGGGGTGGTTTGGGGTTGAGAAAGAGGGGTAGGGGATTAAATAAAGAAGCCAAAAAAAAAAAAAAAAAAAAAATAGGGCGGGTGGCCCGGCCCGGAACCGGCCCGGAACCGGCCACCCCCGGTTCGGGCTCGGGCCTCAATATTCTGAACCGAGGCCCGGGCCGGGCCCAGGCCCGAGGCCCGAACCGGCCCGGTTCAGTCCACCCCTAGACCAAACGGTGTGTTTCTATTTTACATGCAAACTATTTTACGGTCCTAAACTTTACATGCAATCACTTTACATGTAAAGTTTTAATGTGTAAACTACCAAACGGACTCTTAGTCTATTTTCCCATTTCTGATATAACGGTTATCGATCAGGAGGCTGTACATTAGAACAATGTAATTTGTTTAACGAAATCCATAGTACGTTAAAATGGAAATACATGCAGTCCCCACGCCCAATTTCACAACCATCTCAAGGATCCGCCTTTTTTGTAATTCAATGCTCTACTTTTATAGCTAGGGATTTGTCTGTGAAATGGACAAATACAAAACCTATTTGTGAGCTTGGAGACAAATACGGAAATACCCAACGATAAGACTTGGAGACATTTACCAACGGTAACAAGAACAACTCACATTGCCAGCAACCACTCTCAAGTTACATATTTAAGTGAGCATTTTTTTAGTAGTTCCTCCGTCCCAATTTCAATTTTCTAGTTATGATTTTGTCCACGTCACTTATTTGACGCTTTGATATATTTTGTCAAGAATTTGTAGCCAGAAAGTGACTGTATACTGTTTAAATACATTTAAACAATTGATATTGCTTAAAATGATTTCTGGTATTAGGGGTTCTGGTTCAGCAGATTCCAGAAAGGAAGTAAGGAGGAAGTGGATAAATAATGGCGACCCCTATTCCAACCTAACTTTTAGGGGGGGGGGGGGCAAATCTGGACCGGGTGGTACTAGTTCTGTCCGGAATTGAAAATACATGCAATGTTACAAATTCAACTATTATTGAACATTTTACAAGAGAATCCATTTTCCAATATAACTTGGTTGTTTCGTTTTGTGGTTTGATCTCTCACACTATTATTCAACTCAGAATAACTGTAGAAGTAGCAATGTTACAGATTCAACTATTATTGTACATGCTACAAAAGAATATAAACATTAGTCCATCAGATTACAAAATGAAACAAAAATTACTCCGTCGTGTATATTTATATTAAGCAAGTGTGTGTTAAATGCTACAGATCAGCCTGGCAGTCAGATAATAAAAAACTTATAACACAAACATTATTTACTTTGACTGTTTGACGTTAAAACCAGACTTGCCCTATGCACACAACCTTTGGCTTTAAAAAACTAAATCATCAATACAGTTGGATATTTACTACAACTTTCTCGTTCAGTCTTTTATCGGTGAAGTATTTAACAAGCACTGGATTTCCAATCTTTCCCCATGACATCCAACACTTTGACCCATCGCATCTCTTTTCCTGACCCAGGTTGAGCAACAGAACTCAATTTAATACCAATAATTACTAATACATATCATAATTTGTCTCCTTAATCACAACTTATAGCACATTACGGATTTTACTGGGAAAAACAAATACACTCACTTAATCACATCCTTACATTCACTTCTTATTAGAGCGGTTATCGACTATTGATTATCCCACATCTGTAGTCGGGTTTGAGTCTAGTGTGTGTGTGTGTGTGTGTGTGTGTGTGTGTGTGAGAGAGAGAGAGAGAGAGAGAGAGAGAGAGAGAGAGAGAGAGAGAGAGAGAGAGAGAGAGAGAGAGAGAGAGAGAGAGAGAGAGAGAGAGAGAGAGAGAGAGAGATCCTTCCTGCTAAGATTCCTTTTTTAAGTGAGTTAGATAACATGGTATCGGGCTATGGTCTGATGGTGGTATGTGAGACACCCACCCCACACCTGTTTGGGCTAACTTAAGATTAGTGGCCCTCTGGGGTGGTGTATTGAGTCTCGTATCAGTTGCCTATCCTTTTGAAGTGAGTAGTGAAAATTCACAGATAAAATTCTCCGATTTAAATGTGGTTTTAACTTTTTTCACTAGGGATCTAAGTGGGAATACATCAACATCCAAGCCTTATTCCCAAAAGATTTTGGGGTCGGGTAAGGATCTAAGTAGAAATAACAGGAAAAAATAGGGACGTGATAAAAAGCAAACATAAGTGTTTGGATTACCTTCCTCAAATGCAAGCTGTATTGACCTCTTTTCCAGTTCCACAGCATGTTTACTGAGCTCAACTGAAGATAGAGATCTAAGCACTGGCCAAGAAAAGATTGAATTGAAAAAACGAAGGCATGGCTAAGAATTAGCCAAAATAATGCCAAATATCAACATTAAGTATCTGTTTGGATGGATAATTTTGGAGTGACAAGCTTCAGAGGCTTAGTCTATATCTTGATAAATAAAATGTTTTTAACAATGGGAGAAAAGGTGATCCAGTTTTTATTTGGCCACATACTATGTTAACTTTTCAATACTAATAATATATTGAATATTTAACAATATGTAGACTAAGCCCTGAAGGGACGCACCGGTTAAGGTGTTGTTGTATGACCTCGGTCACGGGTTAAGTCTTGGGAGTGGCCTCTTGTCAAAAATTGACGGGGGAAGATTTGCCCCTTATACACCCTTGTGGTGGGACCCTTCCCCGGACCCTCGCCTTGCGGGGATGCCTTCGTGCACCAGGCTGCCCTTTATGTAGACTAAGCCCTTCAGTCAACCCCTCTAAAACCATCTCCACAAGCAGACACTTAGAAGTTGAAGCTGATTGGGTGTCGAGAGGACATACTCTGGATGTAATCCTCTTGCTTTGATTGATCCAAACTATTTAAGACATTCTGCAACTGGCAACACCGCTCTTCCCACTGTTTAAGTTTCGCTCTCTTAGTAGTATCCAACGAATGTGCATTACCAAAATTAGATGAAAAAGTATTGCACTTCTCAGAAGAAGAAGAAGAAGAAACAACTGAAGGCTTTGGGATTTCTATAGTTTCTGGTACACCAACACTAGATTCCTTCATCTGCATTTCAGGTCTTCTTCGGACATACACCAGATGCCTGTTTCCAGAATTACTGCTGCTTACAGGACGATCCGGAATGGTTCTTTTAGAACCACAAATCTTAGAAGCTTCACTACTGGGGGGGCCACTCTCCTCCTGCATTGTAATGCTTTTAGTAACTCCAAGAACTGATGGTGTCTTGCTTTCAGTAGTTGCACCATATTCCCTGGCTTTATAAGAAACTGCTATTTGTTGATCCATCTGGGGAAAAATATGAAACATTTAGGATCCATTTGGAACTCGAGAAACGCTAGGGAAGGAAAATAGGGAGGATATTTGGAAGGAAAGAAAAATGGGGATTATAACAAATGTTTGAAACTAATTAACTCTTTAAGATAATTGTTGAAGCTTGTTCTGTTTAAATAGTACTTCCTCCGTTCTTTAAAAATTGCAACACTTCCCTTATTCGGCAGTTTTAAAATAATTGCAACATTCTATTTTTGGTAAGAAAAAATAGCCAAAATGACTACAAGACCCCTACTCACAGCCTTTTAATATCAATCAATATCCACCCAAATTAATCTTCTCACCTAACAAATGATTTTGTCGTAAGCCACGCCATTAGTAACCTCTCATCTCTCTCCTCTTCTTCCACTTTTCTCTTATGGGTTATATTCTGTGTAAAATCTCTTTCTTGTTCTTCCATGTGATGTGACCAACTATCATTTGTTTTTAATAATTTCTTTCCACTCCAAATCTTCTTCCTTTTTGGAAATATGATTTTTGTTTTGCTTTTAAGCGGTGTATAAAGATTAACCAGCAACATCGAAAGATGCAAATTCGTTTGCACCGGCAGCTTCCTTTCATGATCGGACTAGAGGCAACGCAAATTAAGTTTTTCCAGATACTCGACAACCACTTTAAGAGAAATTGGCGGGGCTACATCACAGAGAATCAAAGATGGAGAAAATCATTATAGTCGATGAAGTTGGAACGCGACTTTGTGTGTGGAGAGCTTTATTATACACTTCTAACTCATTTGGCAGGAAGATCTGAAAGAGAAGGAGCACCATAGTCCGTAGATAGACTCTTGCAGAAAGAAAAATGGTATAGATAGCCTGACAGTTCATGTTGCAATAATAATAGCAATTGAGGGTAGAATGGGAAGAAACAACACTTTATCTAAGTTTCTTAATTCCCATGCCATCTTGGATGTTGCATTTAAAACCGAACAGAGGAAGTATTAAGTATTATCATACACAGACCAAGAAATTTAAATATATGATACAGATTTTATTTTTGTCATATTTTCCAAAGTAAGACTGAACATTAGAAAAATCTCATTAATGTTTCCCTTTCCTACAATTTTCCGAACTCCAAGCATAGCCTTAACACAATCCAACCATGAGATGCAATACAGTCTCATTTAGCTCATCACACACAGCGTCCAACAAAAGAGGAGCCCAAGAAGTGAAATGCAAAATAAAGAATCTCAGTACCAGTTGCATGAAACGTGTCATATGAGACCGCAAGTTCAGAATAGTACCACAACAAAATCAACTTTATGGTGAAATGTCATTCCTCATAAATAATTAAGTAGCAACAAAGCAATTAGCTCTTGTTAGGTTGGAGGGCTTCGCAGGGAAGGGAAGGGAAATGGAGGATGATGTGTGCTCGGTTTTTTTGGGTGGGGATATGAGGGAGGGCAGGAAAGTCTACAAATTGTGGTCTCTTCCACACACATCATATATCACTACCTCAATTTGGAATATTTTGGAGGTGTGGTTTTTCTTGAATTTGCTTTTTTCAAGATTGTTATACATTATTATTGTTATACACAGACTTCTGTATTTTTAAGTACAAAAAATGAATACATGAATAAATGGACTAATCGGACTGAGGTATTCATGGGTCATCCGAAAAGTCTCTTTGTGCTTTTACAGGGGTACGGTTGCGGACATCTGCCCCCTTACCCCACTGTAGGTGGGAGCCTTTGCAGAACTAGGGTAATGTTGTTGTTGTTGTATATTATGTTTAGGTATTTCTCTAAAATGAAATCCATCGTAGCTTCCTCCATTGAGCAAAACATATCATCCTTGTAAATATTCAGTTTTCTTCACTTCTTTTGAACCAAACGAGGGTCAAAGCGCACGTAGTAACGTACTACAAGGTTCTAAGTTCTAACAATGATAATGCAAAGCCTGCATTGGCTCGAAGTACTCAATCTCCTAAATTGATATAAGCTTAATCAAGAGGAAGCTTAATCCCAAATTAATTATTAATGTAATTATAATCAATTTATCAGCCACAAAAGCTAAGATAATATAACCGCAAAGATTCTGTGAAGTATAGCAATGGTGAGGATAGAACAACTTAAGCAATATCAATCAAATATACGTAGTATTAAATTAAGAATGAATGAAGGGAGCCGACTTGTTGTCGATGATAAAATAGCACGTGATAATGACTTGATATAATGCGTGAACCGATGATTGTTGGCGTAGGGGAAAGTACGGAAAATCGAAATGGAAAAGATGAGTTTTCTTACCTTACACTTCCACAGCATAGAAAGGAAAACGGGAGAGGAGACAGCGGACCCGGGGGAAGCGAAGCCAGTTCGTTTTTAGCCTTCGTTGTTAACTCTGACGTATGGGTTACCGGAGAGAAAGTCAAAGTAAAACCAGAAGAGCTAAAGGCTTTCCCCAGTTCGGTTAAGGGATTAGGTCCGGATTCGGATCTATGTAGCAACGAGCCCCAGTGCGGTTTATTGTTAGGTTTTCTTAGGTTTCCATTTGGTTGTACAATGGAATTATTTGTGTTTCTATTTAGTTTCGATTCGGTCTGGTTTGAAGTTCGGTTTACCAAAGTGAAAATTACTAGATTCATTTTACTTCAATTTGATTCGATTCCTTGTGTTTATTACTCCCTTCGTCCCGCTAAGATTGTCTCATTTTACATTTTCGGTCCATCCTACTAAGATTGCCATATATCAAAATTAGAAAAGTTTGTGTGATTTTAAAGCATCCTTACGTTTTTCTTACTTTACCAATTCAATATCAATCACATAAACTATTTTTATTTATTTGTGTGTCACTACCTCTTGTCCATTGGTAGTGGGACGGAAAGAATATTTTATTTTATCATGTTCTATATTTTAAAAATAGAAAATGAAAATGGTAGTCCATCTCATATTCTTGTATTTACTATTTAAATTAAATCTAAAGGGAAATAAAAGTTAGAAAAGTAAATGTCGGTGGTACAAATGTTGTAAAATTTACAATTTTATTCAAATTAATCATGTAAAAAAATATAAATGTATCGTCAAACATCTTTCCAAACAGGTAGAGTATAAACTATAACAAATGCAAATATGTCGTTTTAGCTAACTTTGTCATATGAATGTATGAAAATTGTAGAAGTTAAAACGGTGTATGCTAAACATATGTTTTTCAAATCTAAAACATTTATTTATATCATAAAGATGAAGAGTGAAGATAAATACAAAGTATTTATATTATATTATAAATTGTTTGGTGTTCGATTTGTTTTACGATTTTTTGGTTTTAAACCAAACCAAACCAAATCATTCGGTCTGAGAAAATTGTTACCAAACGGTTTACTTAAATAAATTCAAATCAAACCAAACTATCAATTTTCGGTTTGATTTGATTATATCAACCCATTTTGCCCAGCCCTAGTGTGGAGTATATTAGTAAAAATGTTGAGAGCTTTATAAGAGTGTTTCCTACTATAGCTTTGATGGGTTATAGAAGAGAAAAATCCCCAATGGGACCAAAACATGGGAAAAGTGACACTATAGGACTACTACTTTTCTGCTCAATGCGATAGGACTAAAAGTGGGTTGGAATGCCAAAATTACCCTGCAAAACTCTCTTCTTCAGCTCGTGAACTGCTAACCCTGCAATGAATGTCGACTATAACAAAAGTGTGTTCATTGGTTGTGATGAGTGTTAGCCACTATGAAGGACTTGTTACATGCCCAATAAACTTCTTCTTCTACTTTTCCTTCTTATCTCCATCTTGTTCTACTTTTGCCATTTTCATAGGTTCCAAAAAATTCAAATCGGAGACACCTAAATTCTGATGAAATTCTAAACTCCATTAAAATCCTTCAGAATCTATACTGTGGACACTCTCTTGGATAGATTTAGTAGGATTTCATTAAATTTCATGTTAAGAATTCTAATTGGAGACACCTCACATGAAGTCTTTCACCCTATGATTGATAAAAAATGTTACTTGTACATGTTGGATCACACGTCAGTTTATACGCTTGAGTGTAGATGTCAGTGCACAGATAATTAATGTTAACTCCGAAAACATGAATTGCTTTGCACAGACAAGACAATCAGGAGTCAATACATTTCCGTTTACTAGAACTAAAATTAATTGTTGACAATTACTCTAAAAAGTGTAACCCGGCGCGTAACCCGACGAATACAAGTAGCAAGGTCTAGGGATGGACAAAAATACCAAACCAACATGGTACTGAACAGGACCGGTATGGTACTGGACCGGAAAATGGGGTTCGAAACGGATCTCAAAATTATTGTCTTGAACCGGACCTTACCGGTTCCAAACAATGTCATGATCGGTTCCCATAAAATGAGAGCCGCTACCGGATCGAATTGGACCGAAGTATGATTAAATTTGGATCCGGACCGAAGTATAGTTTAATTATATTTAAATTTGTACTAAAATAGTTTGTCTAAAATTTACTCCCCTTGTCCCACAGTTAAAGTCACAGTTTGACATTTGCGGTCTCCTAGGCGGACATTTGACCATAACTATCTATTAAGGAGTAATAGATGTACCTATTAAATCTATAATAAATTGGATTTCGAATAATACATATTACAATGAAGAACATTAAATAACTTTTTTTTTGGATAAAACATCATTATTTTTGAGTAATAAGCGGTCAAAGTTTAACAAGTTTAACAAGGGTCAAATGTGACTTTAATTAAGGGACAAAGGTAGTATTAATCATGTAATATGAAATTGATAAATTGTGTGGATTTTTGGAAGATGATGAAACTTTAATTTTTTATTAAACACTTGAAAAAAGTGAAATTGTTTGATATATGACAATATGGCATGGTACAGTCTGTTTGAAAATGAAATCATACCACACATATTTAGATTTTAGATTGAACTGAATGGTTTGAATAGTGTGAGTAGGGGTGCAAACGAGCCGAGCCGAGCCCGATTTTCTACAGGCTCGAGCTCGAGCTCGAAATATATAGCATCGGCTCGAGCTCGGGCTCGGCTCGAACGAGCCTACAAAATCGCGGCTCGAACTCAACTCGCAGAAGGCTCGGTTCGACTCGGCTCGGCTCGAGACTCGATAACCATTATGATGCTCCATAATGAGTCCGTAGTAAAAATTCACTGTCATCGGCCCATTCTAAGTTTTTCTACTGAGTAGTAACGACCTAAGCCTAAAATATTATAAAATTTTACTAATCAGCATATATTATATACTCCCTCCGTCCCCTTTTAAATGTCCCGTTTTACCATATTGGGATGTCCCTATTTAATTGTCTCATACCTTATTTGGTAAAGTTTGTGTGCTTTAAAATTATTTTTACTTTATTCTTACTTTATCAATTAATATCAATCACACAAACCCACTTTTCTTAAAACTCGTGTCATACTATTCTGAGACATTTAAAAGGGGACGGAGGGAGTATATCATATATATTACTCCGTACATTATAACAGTATACATTATATATTAATTTATATTGCATAGTAATATATTATATATGATTATATATATATATATATATATATATATATATATATTATAAATATTCACATATAAAATTAGGCTCGCGAGCCAGCGAGCCTGAAATTAGAAGGCTCGAGCTCGGGCTCGACTGCTTAACGAGCCGGCTCGAGCTCGGCTCGAACTCGAATTTGACCGATCTCGATTCGAGCTTTGACCGAGCGGCTCGCGAGCGGCTCACGAGCGGCTCGGCTCATTTGCACCCCTAAGTGTGAGTACTAGGAGGGGGACCGTGCTGGTATTGCATATGCGGGGACGTGGCAACTTTCACATCTGTTGTTCCGCTCCTCAATACAATTTCTTTCAAATTCATTAAAATCCACACGTATGACATTCTTCACCTAGACAGCTCATAAACGTCGTGACCGGACCGGCGTGATGGCATCCCCTCTCCATGCCGCCGCCCCACTCAGCAGCACTTACTGCCCCAAACACTCCAGGCGCGAGATGCCTTCGCCTCTCCTCTCTCATCCTCATTCTTCTTCAAGAGGTACGCCCGCCGCTCTCCTCTCACTGTTCCTATATTCTGTTGCTTGGAGTGAAGACCTGCGTGTTCAATTCAGGCAGAAACCGTAGGGTGAGCAGAATTGTGTGCGATTCCCAGAGGAATCTTCTTAACATGCCTCCTGGAACTCCGGTGAGACCCACGAGCATCATGGTTGTGGGCGCCACCGGAACCCTAGGAAGGCAGATTGTGAGGAGAGCTCTGGATGAGGGCTATGACGTCAGGTGCCTCGTTCGGGCTAGGCCTACTCCTGCTGACTTCCTCCGTGACTGGGGTGCCACTGTTGTCAATGTGAGTGAGCTCTTTACCCTTCATCATTCTCTTTAAGGCACCCATTGTTTTTCCTATTCGGAAGGCTCACCATAATAAAAGTGAAATTACAAAGTCTTGGACAAACTAAAAAAACAAATAAACAATATCGACGGCACTAATTTTTATTCTCCTTAAAAAGAATTGGAAAGAAAATTTAAAATGGAGATTTTTTTTTACCACACCAAACGGTGTAGATTATTGAATTGATGCATCATTCAACGGTTTTCTTCAAGCATGTACTCAAGCACATCCATAAGAGGCAATTACTGTGTTTTGTTTTCAAATTTGGAAAAAACAGTTCATTTCCAAGAAAAAGGTAATTATAATCTCATGTTATCAATACCATTAATATCATTAAAATTGATATATTTATCACTATTGTCAAGGATAATCTAAGAAAACTAAAAACATTAAATGTTTTTTTATTTAATTTTTTCTAAAATATTAATGAAATAAAGTTTTTGTAAAAAATTTATCTGCAATTACAAACAACTAAACGGACCTACCAAAACACTGGCTCTGTATTTAGCTCGTATCCAATTTTGGATTTTGGTTCGCTCAGTTACCTAACTATGCGTACCCACCCCTAGATAGACATTTATGTGTGACGAAATTACTCTTCATCTGCACCATCTTGAAGTTAGTTAGAGCAGTGGTTGTTGTGATCAGGCAGACTTGAGCAAACCAGAGACAATACCGGCTACATTGGTTGGGATCCATACAGTTATCGACTGTGCTACTGGCCGTCCTGAGGAGCCCATTAAAACTGTAAGTGGCCCGTGGGTTTTGCACTTGATTTATTCACAAAACATTTTGTAATAAAAAGGAAATCTGGAACCTAAGAGTGGGATGCTAAGTCAAACATTAAGGTAGATTTGGAAGTGCAAAGTCTAACGAATGTGGCTAAAATCTAATGGAAATCACCCACTACAGAGTGCTCTGTGGTATAATGTCATACGTAGTATGAAATGATGGGGTGCAAAAACCAATATTTGCAAGAAAGTATTCCAATTTTGATCCTCTGTCACGCTCCCATGATTGTTAGATCATTTTCACTTTCGGCAATCAACTTCCATTATTTATTTTGATGGTGGTGCATATTTATGGTTTTCTTTAATTGCTAGTAGTTCTTTTGATCACTTAACCTGTTT